AACCTGTAAAAAAGTGAGTGGAAGAGGGCAGCACTGATCTCTTCTGACTTCATGAGGGGGAAGGAGGAGAATCACCATCAGCAGCAGCCCGAGGCCAGTTCCTATGAGGCTGTGGTCAGACCTCCTGCCACTATCCAACCTTCCTTACCAATTCTGACACCAGCTGTCCCTCCACAGTGCTCTCTACTGGGCTGAATAATCCACTGCAATGGCCACACACAACTCACAGACAATACTCATAATTATAAGATTTATTAGGAGAGTTAACAGGTTACAATTCTGGATTAGAAATGCTCAGGGCACAGTTTTATCAGTTAGGACAGCCCCTTCCCAGTCATGCCCATAGGCAGGCCTCTTTCTGGTCCTTGGTCTCTCAGCCATGAGTCCCTCAGCCTCTGCCCTGCTCCGCCCATGTTACAAAGCTCTTTTGGGGCTGCTGATAAATGCTCAAAGGATACTTCACTCCAGTGTAAACCTCAGCGCACAGGCATTTGGCTGTAACTCTGTGGGTCTCTAAACCTAGCTCTCCAATTCAGTGCCTACAGACGCCACACTACACTCAGCTTTACTTGCTCTGTGGACTGGGAAGTGTACCACTCTGTCTGGCGCCCTGGCTCTTGGTTCTGCTGCTGTTATGGCTTCTCTCCTTCTTCTCTCCGGTCACCACTCTGTCTCCCAAGTCACGGAGGTTAACACGCAGGTATCTCAGGCTCCAAAGGACACATTCTACTCCTGGATCCTCTTCCTTGATGAGAGTGAGAGTCCCCATTCTTGCTTCTGTATGACTCATAAGCTTTCTAAGCTTTTGCAATCACAGTTAACCCTGTTAACAGACACTCACAACCAAGTCATATAATCCTATCAGCATCTTCTCCCTTCAAGAAAACATTATTTGATGGAAGTTACAAAAGTGATGGCTAGAAGAGATATATTAAATAATTCATTGCACCATGCATACCCTATTGTTTTGGGAACCAAAAGGTTGACTTTCTGGGACCGAGTTCTGTCTAGGAACCAGACTGTTGCTGCTATACAAAGGGAAGAGGGAAACCTCCTTCCTTCAGATCTGAGTCTGGTCCTACATGAACTTGGCTTGTCCTCTCTGCCAAAGCCTGCAGGCCGATTCTTCTCCCCATCACCTTTAGTTTGACTGCACTTTGGCAGAGGCCTGTCTCTCAGGTGTGGGCCACAGGGCCAGAGCCAGGTGGAACTCAGACTTAGTAGTCGGATCTCCACGATGTAAGTGGGCTTTGCTTGTTAGCAAATCTTTTGTTGAATCAGTTGCTGCCTCAACTCAATGTAATTTTTCATTCATGTCTCGTCTCTGCTTTAGATTGTAAGTCAGATGACAGGAAGGACTGGGACTTTCTTGTTCACCACTGGAATTCCATCACAGAACACATTCCCTGGCCTGTAGTTGTTGTGAAGTGCTGTTGAGCTGGGTCATAGTGATCCTGTATAAGGTTTC